TCCCACTCGGGCGCCCTTTGCCGATTTGCCGCGTGTGTACGACACGCTGGGTACTGAATTCCGGGTCTGGGACCGGCCCCCCTGATTTTGATTTTGCGCAGTCACGTCCGGCCCATGCCCGATGATTGCGTCAAGTTGTGGCAATCTCCCGAAGAGGACCTCGACCCCATCCAGTTGAAGGAAATTTGCCGGAATGATTTTATGTACAGCAGGTACGTAGCCGTGCAAATGTGCCCTGTATACGCACCATGCAGCGGAAGCCGAGGTGGATAGTCACCCATGTTTGTCTCGCCAGCGCTGTCACTTATATTGGGGAGGGCATCAGCTCTGCCCAGCGTCTCTCCCTTTGTTTAAAGTGGGGGAGTGAAGTGTTGTGCGGTGAGCGCCGAGGACCATGGGGGAAGGGTGCGGCCCCGGCAGTTGGACCCATCTCCTCGGCTCTGTCCCTCAAATCCAGTGGGACATCACCTTGCTGCGACTTCCACGACGTGCCAGGCATGGTGAAGGGCGCTGGCTTTGTTCTTTCCCTCCCGCAGGCTGGTCCCCAATCTCCTGGCCCTGCAGAGGCTGTACAACACAACCACCGTCTTCATTATGACACACCCCACCATCCGGCCTCGGGTGGCCAGGATGCTGAAGGTGCGGTCACGAATGTGGCTGTGGTTAGGAGCCAAGGTTTAGTTGCAGTCCATGCGGCGATTGGGCCTCTTGCTTTGAACAGGAGTTCGCTTGGCAAACTCGTTTTACGTGGGACAATCCAGCAAGTGTGCTATGGCTCATTGTTGACTCTTAACGCACGCGCGACTCTCTGGTTCCCACAGGCCGGAGGAATCAACGCCGCATTCCTTGACTTGTCGGACCTCATGTCTATCAACATGGAAGCCGCACGGCCACTGCGCAGCCCGATGTCTTTTTCCCTGCTTGCGATTGTGGAGGAGGCTGTGGCGGCGGATGCGAGGGCGTTCCTGGGCACTGCGGAGAGCAGCATGACCGGCATGATCGTGCAGGTGAGGGAGTCCACTGCACGGAAATAAGGGCTTGTACGGCAAACAGGGATTGCAAGCTCCTGCATGCCCATGCCTGATAGCGAAGTCCTGACCTGGGGCTGTGCCTGCAAATGGGGCTTTGGCTTGGCTGCTGGCGTCAGCAGCGGTAATTTGAACGGGCCTGGATTCGGGCAAGCGGGGCGTGTACTTTGCTTACCCTGTTACGGCGGTCCTTATCTGTTTGCTTGCCCATTTCCGGCAATGCACTATGCAATCGAAGACCGGGAAAGACGGACTGAACGACGGTCCGGCGGCTGTGCTATAGTCGTTGCTCAATGACATCTTCAACGATATGTGGCTCTGCATTCCTCGTTTCTTCAGCCCACGCTTGTGCCTTCCCTCCAAACCTGCTGTGCTGCTTTTATGCTTGTCGTGTGCCCATGTCAACAACACCGCAGACACCTTACCATTCGTATACTGCGTTCCTGCATTGGCTGGACATCAACCCCCCAAATGATCTCACCTTGCCTGTACACTCACCAGCGCCTGCACCCATCCACGCCATGTCCCCAGGAGCGGATTGCCCGAGAGCTCAACCCCAGGCATTGCTACTTCTTCTCTCCACGCCCTAGCAACGAGCTGATGCCTCGTCGAATCACCAACCTATATGCGAACCGAGACATGGAGGGGCAGGAGGCAACGTTTAAGAGG